GGTGCCAGACCAGCAAGGAGGCTGTCAGTGAGCTGGGTGGACACAATAGCTTAAACAATGACTACTTCAACAATGGCTACGAACAAGCCGCTGACCTTCCAATGACTTGGATGGGTGGGTGTGTGTGTCCTGTGGCAGCTGTCTCATGGTCAGGTTCCTGCGCCCGTGATTTGCCCACCATCTGGGGAGGTGCTCAAGGCCACCTATCTCGCCTGCCTGAGGTGCCTCTGGGTGGTTCAAACGGACAGCCCTTAGGGCTGAGCACTCAGTCCTTTGCCTTTCCCGGGGACACCTGAGACTTCTGTTAAGGCAAGCATGTAGCATTTTTATATTGCACTAAGGGGGGGGTGGGGAGGCAGCTCTTCTCATGGGACATAGCAAGAATGGGGGATGCTGATCTCAGGAGTGGAGCCGGGGCCCCAGGCCCCCTCTTCCCACAGCCTGCGCCATGGCTGGCTGCCTCTTGGCTTCCCAGCCTCCCTCAGTATAAAGGTCCTTCCCTCTCTGGGGCACCCTGGGGCCCTCGGTGCTTGCTTCTCCGAAGTGGCCGTGAGAGGGCTCCCGTTCCTCCTTGCCAGCTGAGTGCAGGGGCCTTTTGCAAGAAGAGCTGTCTGTGTGTGGGAGGCAGACACCAGCAGGAAGCCAGGCCCCAGTCCACTTCCTCAGCCGGCTTCCTGGAAGGCCAGATAAGGAGGAAGCAGGGGCGGCTGCCTCAAGCAAGAGGTCAATAGGCCCAGCTGTGTTTCCCCAAAACCAGCTGCCATCGTCCGGCTCACAGCGACCCGTTATCAGGGCACAGTGGCGGGCGCTCCACAGGGTTTGTGTTCACTGTGGGGGAAGGGAAGCAGATTGCCAGGCGTTTCTTCTGAGGCACCTTGGAGAACACACACCTCCAACCTTCCCAAACCAGCTGAGCATGTCCCAGGGCACAGCCTATCCCGGCACGGCAGCGGGACCCTGACTGCCCGGTGTTTGGGGACTTGGAGGCTACACAGAAACCACAGGAAGGCTGGCAGGCTAGCTCTTGAGGTGGAGGGCAGCAGTTGGGCCTAAAATTCTCACTTCACAGGCCTCTGGCCCCAGAGGGACCCACCATGGACATCTCAACTGTGGGATCTGGATCTCTCTTCGTAGTGATCAAATAATCCCCAGCCTAGGACAGCTGACACCCAGGGGAGGGAGTATGTGGGACCGAGCCGGACCGAGCCACACCCTGCTCCCCACCCAACAGTCTTCCCAACCAGGCCAGCCCAGTTCCAGCTCCAAGCTCTGGCCAGAGCCCCAGCTCCCAACCTCTTCTGTCACCACCCTGCCCCTCCCCCTTTCTGCCCACACATTCCTAATAACTCCATCCCGAGGTGAGGTCTCTACCTCTCCACATACCAGCTGTCTCACCATGGAGTCTCTAATTATGTTGTTTACCACCTGCCCCCCTGGCTAGACTGGAAACACCAGGTCCCAGATGCCCCACAGCGATCAGAAGGCGTGGCTTTTGCTGAGGTCAGGACCTGCACAGGAGAGGAGGACCGGAGTGGACCAAGGTCCCCTGCCTCTGAATCAATAACCTGGGGTGGGGGAGATGCACACTCCTCAATTAGACTGGCGGGGTGGGTTGGGACAGGCCTGGCCCCTGTCAGGACCACTGAAAAAGGACTGCCCATCAACGGGTGTGCTGGCCTGTGTGGCTGGAAGCTGGGCCAAGAGTGTTTCAGACACAAGCAGGGTCTCCCGTGTTGGCGTTTCAGCAGAGCTTCTAAGACAGTCTAGGGAAAAACCTGACAAACTACTTTCAAAGGAGCCATCCACAATGAGAGAGAGAATGAATGAATCATGTTTGTTGAAGTAGAGGGCTATCCAGGGTGAGGGTGACCCTCAGTGCGATGGATGGACACAGGAGCCCAAGGATGGATTGTGAGGCCAGACAGCACATTTCCCTTGGTTATAGGTTGGTTTGCCAGGAATCATGGTTGGCTCAACAGCAGCAAACAGCTACTGCAGATGAGGAGTGGAGGCACTGGGGTTGGGCACTCCAGGGGCAAGGGGCCCCACTTTGCCATCGTCTGCATGGTTGTTCCAAAACTGGGCTTGGAAGGAACTCGAAGCAGCAGCAGGGAAGTTCTCAGAACGCCAGGAGGCACTGGTTCAGGGAGACAGGGGCCACCAGGAGGTAGGGAAGTCACAGAAGTTCCAGGAAAGAGAGTTCCTGTCTCAGATGTCTAGAGCCTGGTGCTCAGTCCAGACTCAGCAAGAATGAGCCCCCATGGCCACTCACCAGGAGGTCTTCTGGAATGTTGGGGATGGGGTGGGGAGACCTGTCCTCTCGCACAGGGTGAAGTTGTCCGGATGTGTCATCCCCTCTCAGAGCTAGGAAACCTCTTAAGTACGGGGGCTCATACACAGCTCAAGAAAGACACACTTTGTACCTGTTCTAGGTTCTGGGTCCCTGAGCAACACAAGTGATCTTCACTTAACTACTAACAGGTTGGTGGTTTGAACCCACCCAGCTGTGCTTCCAAAGGGCCGGCAAGATCTACTTGTGGCCCCACAGTCGGGAAGACCCCAGGAGGCGCAGCACTGTCACACACAGCACTGCCCAGAGTCGATAGCACCCCACAGCCAACAAAGGGTTGGGTTTCCCGTTGAGGCACCCATCAGACTTAAAACAAAGCTCCTGCCTCGTGGGGTGAACATAATGGGCCCTTCCGGTCCTGCCCCAAGCCCTCAGCCCCTTGCCATTTCCGCTTCCCTTCTCTTGATCTTGGGGGGCCTCTAGGTCTAGGCAGGATTTAGGGCACACTCTGCAACGCGTGCTCCACACTGCAGGGGACCGCCCCCAACCCCCGCGACTGTCTCCCACCGGAGTCGTCTTTAACGGAGGACCTTGCTCCCCAATCTGAGATTCCTGCGTTGTCTCCTTTCCCTGCCTCTGTTAAGAGAAAGTGTTCCCTCCCTGGGCCTCAATTTTCCTTTCTCGGAACACGTTGACATTTTGTCAACCCCGAGTTCGAATCCACTGAGCACGCACGACATGCTGTGTGACCCAGATGAGGCGATACCGCCTCGGGGCCTTGTTTTTCACTCTGAAGACGCGAGGCGCCGGAAGGAAAGCTGCTAACAGGCGGAGTACCTGAAACCCCCTGAACCTGCAGAGTCGGGAGTTTACACCAACCCCCAGCACTTTTGCACCCCAATTTCCACTGAGCTATTCCCTACAATCACGGAACACCGGGAAGCGCCACGTCCGCTGGGAAAGGCCGTGGCTAAGCCGCTTTGGGCCTGGTCCACATTCACTGCAAAACCGTCTGAGACCAACGTGCTAGGGAAGCAGCGAGGACCATCTGCTCTCCCGGCCTCGATTTCCCGCCTTGGCCAGGGGGCGGGGCTCGAGGCCGGGACCTCGTGCTCACCCCGCACCGCCCCGGCGGCCGCCTCCCCGCCGTCCCCGATTCCCGGCGAAACCCTGCAGTCGCGACCCTGCC